AAAAACCGTCAATGCTAAAGAAACATATCAGGTGAGGCTGGTTTTTCACGTCACTCGTTTTATATGCGTACCGCTTAGGGGTAGCAGCACGTCTTCACTTTTAGGTTGTTGAGCGAACTTATTCATTTCTTAATCTACAGTGTTGCTGCATTTCAAGTGCAGCAGAAACATTCGTAAAATTCAACTAACACAGTCACACAACACGGAGTCTCTTGCACGTATCCCGGGCCATGTTCAGTACGCAGTAGAGTGTCGCTGTATACATTATAGCACGTCATGTATACTCATCGGAGTTTGCATTTCGGCGCATTCGGTACCTACAGATAGACAAAGAAGCCTTTAAATAGGAGGACTAAACATATTTTTTAATGCTTCTTGTGCTGCAGCAGTTACACAAAACGCATATTTTTAAGACCGTGTGTGCGTGCTTAAAGTGCATTTTATCCGGAAGTTTCAACTCTGGAACTGGAGAAGCTAGAAAGCTGAAATTTTAAAAGGAAACCCTACCCGGATATGATCTTGTAAACTCAAATCCGGCGTATGCGCGCACCTAGGCTTCACATACGGTCACGCGGACGTCTTGGTGCGTAAGTTAATAACTTGGGAAGCACAGAAAATTGGAAGCTTAAGTTTTGGGAGAATGGCTCTTGACCGCGTGTGAGGCCATAGTGTCAAATTCATCCTTCACGTCCGCTTAGATCTTACATACGGAAAGTTGAAAATTTTGACGTAAAAATCATTAACTTGGAAACCAGAAAAGCTAGAAAGTTGAATTTTAGGAGAATGTCCCCTGCACACGTATGACCGCGCAGATTCAAACTATTCACTGCTCCCACATGCCTAAGTCGTAAGGACACATGAAATTTTTGGCGTCATAATTAATAGCCCCGGGCCACAAATACTAGGAAGCTGAAATTGCAGAACAGTGCTCATACCTACGTATATATTCAATCCTTGCGCATGTCTGAGTCCCAGATATGGATGAGCGAAAGTTTTAACGTCAAAATTAACTTGAAAACCACGAAACCTAAGGGGTTGGAACTTTAGTCCAATGTATCTTGCTCACGTACGACACTAGTAACTTTAGAACCAGCCTTTATGCACGTATTGGTCTTACGTGAAAGTTCTGGCGCAAAAATTATTAACTCTGAATTCAGAAAAGTTAGAAAGTTTGAAATTTTAGAATAATGCTCCCTGCCCGGATATAAGTTAGCTCGCGTGCGCGGCGTTTTCTTTTGCAAAAATACGTGCCTATTTTTTTTTAATTGTTGAGTACCTTCGTCTTTTTCAAACGGGAATACTAGAGAAGTATAATTGATTTGATGCATAGGTAAGACTTATTGTAGTTTTGAACTCATAG